GCTATTTATAGTAATCACCCGAATAAATCTATTAATCTAGCATGCATTCCCTATCATTCATTTTCAAATGTTGCATTCACCTTTATATAAGATTTCTCAAGATCCACACGAACAATTAGAATAATAAATCCAATTAAGTAAAATAAATATGCAAATTAAATAAATTCTAAATGCTATTATATCAAGTATAACGAAGGTGATTATATCTTAATATGAAGTTACATGCACAAGTTTATGGTTTGTCCAAAATTTTTAAAAAATTTGGACCAAATGATTATCTTCTCAAATTGTCTTTTGACAAATATATAAGTCATACTATTAATATTGAAGATATATTGTCATGTCGAAGAATTCTTAAGCCTCATGAGTTGCATGATAACCTTATTACAGAGAAGTCAAATTTTGCAAGTTTCTCGTACCCCACAACTCTTGGAAATGATACTATCATTTCTATAGAACTGTTCCCATCAATAGACACGTCACCCAAATTCCTAGTTCAATATAAAAATCAACCTTCTTCTAAGAACACTCGAATAACCAAAACAAACTTAGACGGTCTTGCCCCTAAATTAGTGGACGAGTAATTTGACTATATACTTTGCTTTGTAAGGTTTGGAGGAGTTGATGTAGCACTAACACAATGACCAAGGCAAGAGTACAACCCAACACAAAACATTAAAATTTAGGTTATTCATCATGCACAGCTCTTCAAACAATCCATAGATGACCCCTCATACCTCCAAAATAATTGGAAGATAATTAAGGAGGTTGACCAACTAAATAAATCATGTGAAGATTTTCAAAAAGTACTTGATTTCAAGCCTAATACATGTGCCTTACCTAGCATGGCCAAAAGCTTAATTTTATAATATTTTGCTTATATTATTTTCCTTTATATTAGAATAAGTCATCAGTTCATGTAATAGTGATTCATTGACTGCTAAGGCTTTCCAAACTTAAATAGACTTGAAAATAACCTAAAAATAGATCTTAATTTATATTTTTAATTTTAATGAAAAAAAACTTCTTTTGCTTGTGTAGATAATATGTGAAAGGCTTGATGTCTGCTCTACAATTCGGTGAAACTCGGTGGCTAATTCCCTGGGACTTTGGAAGTCCTAAGATATCTTATTCACTCATTTTTCCCAGAATGATTCCCCTCTCTTCAGCATAAAGCTCAGCCAACCCTAAATCATAGCCTCCCTCTACCTCCAACTACTTCAAAACTCCTTCACACATTCCCTCACAACCCTACAACTTTCCAAGGCCTAAAATCCCAATTAACCTGCAGGTATCCTAAGCAAAATCCTAATGTAGAGAATTTTTGTCGTGAGCAATAAGATAAAAAATTCAAAACTCCTTAACCACACTAACCTAACCCATAGAAAAGTTGTCATTAGTTACATAACATCCCAAAACTTTGCACCGGAGTTCCTCACCATTTTCCTCTAAGAAAACTTACCCTTTCAAAACCCAAAATTTTTTACAGCAAATTTGTCCAAAATCTCGAATGCCCTTTTTCCTACCATCCACATAACTCTCCCACTACCACCTTGAAGGAAAACCAATTAAGTTCCAACATTTGCCATCAAGATCCATCCTGAAGGAAAAACGGTTAAGTTACTACATTTGCCATCAAGATCCTATAGACAAAACTTACATTGCTCGCCATGTTGTCTTCAATGAAGATGTATTTCCCCATCATAATTCATAAATCCTTCTCAATTCCTCTTTTAATAAATACCAATACCCCATCCCATGCTTGTTCCCATTTCAGGAATCACACCAACTATCCATCTATAATCTACCAACTTTTACTCCCCTTCCTCAAATCATCTCATCCCCACTGCAAATCTCGTCCCCACCCTGTATAGCCTCCATAGGATACGTCGCTCATCTAAACATTCCAACCACAAAAATCACACAGCATACAAAAGATACTCCTCATTTAACTCCAATTATAACTAGTCATGTCATGACGACTTACCTAAAATTAGGTCATCTAAAACCAAAGAAAACTATTATGCTACTTCATGACCCACTCCCAATCCAAGCAGCTATTCCACGGTAGTGAAGGAAGAAAAATTGCGCTACGTCATGTCTCTAGATTTTCAAGCATTGCAAGCCCAAGGCTTGACAAGAAGTACAACTCCGACAATATAAAAGCTCGACACAAATCTCACATTGTTGCACAAGGCTTCAAATAAGAACAAGAGATTAACTAAATCAAAACCTTCAACCTAGTGGCAAAATGCCAACCATTAAAATTATGCTCAATAGCAAGCCTCGCTCACAACTGGTCAGTTCTCCAACTTGATGCTTCATATGTATTTTTTCATGACAATTTCATTGAGACAATTTATATGAAATAAATTCAAAGATATACCAATCCACAAGACCCCAATCATGTCTATATTCTCAAAAAAGTTATTTACACACTTCAAGCACAACGCCACAAGGTTGGCACCTTCATCAGGCATCTTTAGCGTTAGATATTTCGCTCCAACAATGCCAGCTTTTTCCTCTTGTGATATCACCATATCACCATAATGGGTCTATGTGGAAGACAACCTTCTTATCAACAACACCTACAAAGCCACAATAAAACTTTTGCAAACCCAGCAAAGCCAACTCCATATGAAAATGCTTGAAGCAATATCGCATTTTTACAGCCTCCACACGTGGTTAAAATCTTATGGTATTCATCTAAATTAGTCCCAATATGCACTCCACTTCCAAGAATACGCAAGCATGAGAGATTGAAAAACTTCCATTGAAAATTTGTAGACTGAATCTTATCCGCCTATAACATCAACTCATTAATTCTCTCTGATACCTTATCATCAATCTCCCTAACCTGGCGCATGCAAACAATTGTGTCAACACAGGCATAAACGATTAAATCAACAATTCCAACTCTTTAAATGAGTATTGTACTACATCAATGATACTCTATATTATGGTCTACCAATCTAGTGCAACACTCTTACATTTCGAGCATACTCGAGCTCTAAATGGGCAGATAATCCACTGTATAGCAAGTCAACCACATGCTACCGTGTGTTTTTTGGGCCAAACATCAATCTCTTGGTGTGTCACAAAACAATCAATTATCACCTGCTCCTTCACTGAGACAGAATATCAAGCTCTTGCAACCAATGACATCATTTGACTCAAGTGACTTCTACAAGAGCTCAACATCACCCTCTCATCACCTACGCTCCTCCACTGTGACAACCTATCTACAATTTCTCTAGACAACAATCTCGTGTTCCATGCTCGAAACAAACACATGGAGATCAACATCACTTTATTCTTAATTATCACTATCCATCATATTACTTCTTGGGATAAAGTTGCAAAGAAATTCATCAAATCCTCATCCAAAACCAAGTTCACCCATCTAAAAGACAAGTTGATAAACGAAGGTGGATCATCATCTTGTGGGGAGGTGATAACAGAATAATATCACATCTCTACAAAGCTGTCAAATGTTTAGTGCACTTGTCATCAACAAGATCTCAGCCCTCAATTAGAAACTATCTTTGCCATTGTAACCATGTAGTGCATTTATATTAGTACAAATACAGAGCATTGCAACCTCAGTTTAATCAATGAAAAACATGCTTCAAACCTACAAAATGCTTCTTTTTGTCTCTTTCTATCATCAATATTTTTTCAATATCTGTTTTCCTTCATTGCATCAAATATTTGGAAGGCTTTGCTAACATCACATTGCATGACATTTTCAAGCAAACACTAGATTGCTCACAAACATTTGGATAACTATACCATCATCTCTTTGTTGACTTAGAAGGCTAGTTATCAACTTGGGTCAATGTATTAGATCAGCTGGACTTGGCATCTAGATGGACTCGCCACACAAATCTCAAACAAGCCAGTTGAAAAAGTGAATGGAGAAGGCTTGGAGAAAAGCACGAATAAGGTAACAAAGGTCATGATAATGGATTACTCAAAAAAAACAAAAAAGGTGGTTCGTCTTTTGTCACAAAAATAAAGAGCCAATTGTCTCCATCAAGTCAGTGTGAGAGGGGATCAAACTGTTATTAACCAATGAAGCATAGATCGACCATTGAATCTACCAGGTTTAGGAGATGCAACAAAGGTGGCTCCCAAAAAAACATTTCACACAAAGCAAAAATGATTTCACTTAACCTATAGCCTAAGAAAGATTTCAGACAACAAGGACCAATGAATTCAATCAAGCAAAACGAAAGAAGTGCCTTGTTTTGGATAAGGCCCTTCTTCCAAGTGCTTTGAGGGTTCAACGAAAAGGTTGTAACAATATGAAAAGACTGCATGCACGTCAAAATCACAATGCACATAATCCTTCACAAAGGATATTGGTATTGGCCCCTATGGGTCGGTCATACTCAGAACTACATAGATTGGTCAATTCTGAGAGAAATTTGATCTATTTTAGAATTGGGTTGAGTGTTTAAAGCATGCGAAGGCCCTTGCTTGAAGAATTCAGGAATGCATAGCCATTAATTAATCAATATGAACTTCTCTAGACTGATTAGCTGGTTCAACCCGATTAGAGCACCAGTTCAAACAAAATAAGTTGATCCAACTCCGATCTTCTCTCTCAAAGATCTACATAGTTAAGCTTCAACTAATCAAAAAAATGGCTATTTTATCAGCCGTATGAGCACACTAACAAACTAATCACACAAATTGCTAAGATAAGAATGCCTGTATATCATGCATATATATCAGACATGCGTTAAACAACAATGTTCTTTATTATTAGATAAATAATCTAGTGGAGATCACTCCAACTAATGTTCATGATCTCAAATATCCTCAATTTATTTGAAAAAATGAATTAAATGAACAGCACAACTTCAAATGTTCTTACATATGAGATCATATGTATTGCATATGGAGAATGGTAAACTATCACGACATACAAACATAAAAAAACAACAAAAACCTCAAAAACTGGATTCAGAAGGTACATTAAAATTAACATGTACCTAAGGGACTGGAAAATTCTGTTATCTTTTTCGGTGTGCTGGTTTCATCTTTGATATCAAGAAGATAAGGGAGCTCTAAAAGCTTCAAAAACGATACTGTTTGTGGATTTCTGCAATGACCTGCCAAAAAAGAACACATTACAATCTATGAAACAGAAATGTGATCGGACTGTTGATATAGTGATGTAACAGCAGAGAAGTATTGGAAAACAATAACATTTTGAGATTTCCAGTAGAATATTAAATCTAGGAGAAGTGGAGAACGTTTGAGAAGAAGTTTGAAATGTGGACCCTTCTGAGAGTTCAGGATTCAAAAGAGATACAATATGGGCCTAGGACAATAGAGACACAATAAACAATGATTTCAATGACAATCAAAATGTTACCATTTCATTCCCAGGATTAGATTTAGTCAACTACTAAAGCTCGGGTGTGAGTTTTCATTCCCTGAAATAATAGGTTTGAATGTGACTATAAAGTATGCATAAAATTGTTGAGTTGATATTCTCGGCATTAGAAAATATTTTATATGAATAAAAATGTAGGTTCTCAAAAACATGGGGAGTTTGCAGTGTTAAAAATATTGACAGAAGGAATTAATCAAATATTTGCCACAAAAATAATTTAACACTTGGGTAGGGTCACGGTATATAATAGTTATTGTAGAATAAGCCCTAACATTTGCATATTAAAAGGAAATAATAGAAAGATACGAGGGTGCAAGATGCCAAAAGTTTAAAAATTATCTGAAGCCCTCATCATATCAATTTCCAACAGTAATAATTTTCTTCAAAGACATCTAAGAATCGTATTCTATAAGTTGCAACTCACCAAATACAAATAAATAAAAGTTGCACCGCAAAATAAACCAACTAGATAAAGCAGTAAATAAAAAGGAAGAATGCAACAAAATACAGTTGAATGAAATATCTCAAAATGAAAGCCAAATTAAAGTCAAAAACAAACAAAAGGGGAGTAGAGTTGTGGATTCCTATGTTCACAAATTTTAATTACATAACAGTACCATTTCAAAGAAGGTAAGAGAATAGTGTGAACTCCAAATATTCAACGCTCCGGCCTCCCCCAAAAAAGAATAGTATAGAGATGAGAATGAGGGAGTTTACGTGAGATTCCGGGTTACATTTTCGGAGGGGAGGTGAGATAGTAGATAAGACACTAGCCAGAGGTTTCACCCTCATTTTGCGAGGACTTTGAGATCTGCGGTTTGAGGTTTCCCATAGGTGCAAACACCTATAATTAATTATTATTCTTAATAATGGGAGAACACTTTCAATTAAGTCTAGTCATCATATGCTAAGTACAGACTTAGCATATAATAGAGCCCGATTTTAAAATTTGAAATTATCAAATTGTCACTGTGAACGCACCTAAAGATCCCATGGTTTCATCATTCCGAATTTTTGTAGTCCCTGGTCTACTTAGTTAGAGGTAGTCGACCTAACCTGATAGATAAATTCTAGCCATGAGTTGCTTTATCTACAGGAACCTTGTAAACTAATTTATCTAAAAAAACTAATCTAAGTAGACATTAACTTACATAATGCTTTATGTCCTATTACTTATGGCCAATGATATGTTACCCAAAAGAGTAGAATATCATTGGAGAACATATGGATTATAGCCGTGACCGGAATATAATAGTGATATTTGAAGGCAAAAATCTTGATTAGCGGACTCTAGTTGTAACTGCTTCTTTTTTCCCATTTGGCACCGAAATCACGCAGACAAAGGACTTTTGTCATGTCTTTACTGGTATTACATTATTTTGAGTATGAATTTAATTGTATAATTGATATGACATTTATTTTTTATGAGTTTAGATTAATCCTAAATTTGTCACCTTCAACAAATGATTGTAGATGGTGGATGTATTTTTATTTTTTCGCTTTTAGTGATTTTAATTTTATTTAAATGTTTGAAAGCTTTTATGAATTGAAATTTCTTCAATTTTAAGATAAACCCTTTCAGTTAAGACGTGCAATGGGTGCACACATCATCGGGGATTTGATTGAAATTTATTACAATAAATAATTGAACTTGATCATTGAAGCATTCAAAAAGGTCCTTTGTCCAGTTAAAACAAGCGACAGAGAACATGCTAGATATTAATTTTACAGAATGCAGATTTTCTCAAAACGCTACATTTAAAAATTTAATTTAATTTAAGCCCATGCAACATTCTCATATAATATGATCGAGCATTCAATACAATGGTCAAAGCACATGCAGGCTTAAAATTTCATGTATTTTGACATTATGTAGAACTTGATATATTTTCAAAATATTGTATGTCTTTCAAAATAATATTTGAGTTGCAAATTTTTTTATAAAATATGAAAAAAATCTGATAATATTTTGATTAGATTAGTTTTTGAGTATTCACCATTATATCACGCACAAACTTGACTTTGAATCATAAAATACTGCAATATGTCTGCTAATACACTTGTTGTGGATCTGATGGCAATTGAAGACGAATAAACATCTTTTATGTAAATCTAAGATCATAATTTATTGCGGCGAAATTTATAAGGAATCAAGCTTAGACTACAATTGTGCTTGCTTGTGTCTCAGGTGATAAAAGCTTGTTGTTGTAGTTGTTTAGCAGGTTCTTTTAAGTCTTTTTTATTGTGGGTCTGTTCAATCCAAAATCCTCCAATATTTTGGCAGCCTCCCAATGTCATCCCCATGTTGGGTTTTACGTCAAAAAACTAAGTCTACTCATCATGCTAAGAAAGGCATGCATGGTCGGTGTCAAAAACACTCGGCCGGAATTTTCAAAACAAATCACGCTAAGAAAGGCATGCCTGGGACACCAGCAAGCACAATTCATAATATACATACACCCATTGCATCGCGAATGTCGTATATAAGTTCTCCTCTTCATGCTAAGAAAAACATGCACAAGTTTCGCTCGTCATGAAAAACGTGCCGCAAAGTAGATTTTAAGGTTTAGCTTAACAACCTCTTTTATACATTTCGATCATCGACAAAGTGGATGCATATATTTCGAGGATAACAATTTTTTTTTTCGGATTTTCTTCTTTTTCTCTTTCCAGAGAGAGAAAGCTAGAAAGGGATGACTCTCTGGTAGAGAGAAAAGTAGAAGAGAGTGTGCTTTCTCTCTCTCTCAGTTTAGAGAGAGAATAAATCAGGGAGATGAGGTTGTTTAATGGCCTTGCTGAAGTTTGGTGAAGTAAACAAAGAGTAGGTGGCTTTTCGATGAGCAACGGCAAGAGAAAGGAGTTATAGGAATTGCAGCAAGAGGGCATGCAAAAAGAGAAACAACGCTTGGATTGGGAGTGCAGCAAGTGCAGCCGAGCAAGAACCTCCCAGGAAATGGGGTGCTTGAGACATAAAGGAGCAGCACAGTTCGTGTAGGAGGGTCACAAGTAAAGTTGGGATTGATCTGAATTTGTGTGTCAATGTCGGTCAACTTTTCGATTGATTATTTGAAAATATGAATATGAAAATAATTTTTGAAACTTAATTTAATATAATAAATATATAGAGTTTTAAAAATAGTATGTTTTAATTTTTAAAAAATGAGACCAAATAGATCTCATTAGTCCAATAGTTTGCAAGTCCAATAGTTTGCATAATCGGTTTGCATAATCGTGTCTGATACCGCGAATACTACACCCTCCCGAAAGATAAGTGTAGACCTCAGCGATAGACCTAATTCTGCAAACTAAGAAATTTGTGACATCCGTTTGGTCTGCGAACCTTTTATGTATGACCGACAAGTTCCCCTATCTAATACAAAGATTTAATATGGTTTATTTTACCTGGGTTTCAATCCCTATAGAGGTAATCCCCTATAGATAATTACATCTCAAATGACTGAGGCCACTTGAGAAAACTCTCGATAATGATCAGTGGTTCTAGTCTTCAAGATTTCAAAGTTTAGGTTTTCACGGTAGGACGAGGAAAATCAAGTGGGAATGGCTCAATACGGAACACTTATTTTCAGGAGTCCAAAGGAGAAGGTAGGGGATGTCACTGATCCGAGGTAAATCTCGGTGACTTCCCAGACTATCTTACAATGTGGCTACATTTTTGGAGACGATATTAATTAAGTGTTTGATCCTGCCAGTTTTATTATTTGGGACTTACATTTTCATAATACCTGATTATGCAAATGACCCGCAGAGATAAGAGGGTTTACATCGTGTCACACGACAATCTCGGAATCTAAGGCGGGTTAGGACTTACGCTGCACAACATGGTTGTAAATGAGCCTAAAAAGGTAGTGTGAGGATTTACGTCGCACTAGACAAGCTTCCTCGAAGTCCTATGGGTTGTTATTATACTAGGAAGGGATAATGTTGAAGAAAATCCTCTTGCTGCTCGGTCTAAATTCATCGCCGTGTAGCCCACAAAGTTGGCTCCAAGCTCCTGTTGTAGCGATGACTCCAGAGTTTAAGTGTTTGAAATTGATGATTTATGCTTCACAGTTTTGGTGTCAATCTTTGGTTTTGTTTTGTTTCAATTTTGATTTTGCATGCAGAGTAGTCAAATTGCAGGTAAATAAAAAGTACTTGAAAGGTAAAATGCAGTAACATAAAATGTTATAGATAAACTGTAAAAGCGTACCTTGGCATCTGCTACTGTTGTCGATTAATATTGTGACCATAGTATGATTTGCAGCATATTTAAACATGCTTGCAAGAAAAATGAATAAGGCAAGAAAACCCAGCATGAAAGTCATAAAAATGAGTAGAAATCACGAGCAAAAGAAACCTGTAACCACATATAACAGCTCAGGACTGGGTATAAGACATTGTAAAAGTGAGGGCTTAGAGTTGAGTTGTGTGCTTCCCGACCATGAGTAAGAGTTGTCAACTCGACAATCTATAGGAGGTAATTCTTAACCTCAATCTAAATGATTAACCATGAACTTTTATAAATTTTCATAGAAAAATTATTTGATTTTCATGCAAAAACTGTTGTTTAAGTCTTTTTTATGCAGAGTTATTTTTAACATGCACAAGAGATTTTTATTTTATTTTTGTAAATATTTTGTAAAGTCGTACCGTCCACAGGCTAGTCACTTTAATCGTGCTAGAACTACTGACAACCTAAGAGTGTCGGGGGTA